AGATGGAATGACCAGAACCACCGGATGAATGGTCCTCAATGTTGCATGGACTCAAAACTGCAACTGAAGTGGAGTCGAAACGATACTTATGTTCTTTCTCAGTGAAATCGCGCCTGACTCCCCCCCCCAAGGCCAAGTTTCATGCCTACTGCACTTCCATTTGCTCCTTATTGCCTAGAGGTCTATTAAAAATGTGCCACTGTTCATTTGTATCCGAACACTGCACAACTTTTCATCTTCTTCCATCACTGTGTTCACCAGACAAACTCATGTTGATGACGAGACATGTTTTTGGAGGTGGCACGCCCTATATGTCACTGTGCGAAAAAGCATTGCGAAAATGCAAAGGGCGAAATGAGAAGACAAAACAGACATTGACATATGTCGCCTAAGAGTGAAATTAAACCATACGCAGTAAAATGTAATCTTTCGGGTGCGTCAAGTTCCAAGATCCAAAAATGACAAGGGTCGTCGTAGTTCGTTTTCATCTCGTTTATGAGCACGCACCAATCGGACTCGCTTCCCAGCCATTCTTCCATTTTCATGCATTGCCCTCACTGCTGCTGTTGCGACTATCAGTGGTACAGTCTAATGTTCAAAACTTTTTCGAAAGTCTTTAAAGTTTCATGAATGCCACTTTGTCTCATATGCCGTTTCATATTAGAACAATATGCTCAGTTCGACACATTTTACAGGGTCTGCGTGAACGATTACGTTTTTCACCTCACTCTGCTGTGTGGTGAGGTGACTTCGTTGCGAATGCACTCATAGAATAAACTTCAGACTCTTATTATCCATTTTCCTCTCAATCACTGTTCGCACGTACTCTTCCTGACAGTTTGTCAACGATCGCCATTTGGCTGCCATCGAGCCCTAGGGAGCTCGATAAGTTATCATAACCCTGAATATAAAAATAAAACCAGCGATGAAGGTGGATCTGTGTCAGAGTGATCAGAATATATTTCCCATTTTCTGGGATTAAACGTCAGGTAGCCACCGGAACGACTGACCTTCGGTAAGCTTCGGTCGACTACCAGTGATGAAGAGGGACGTTCACGGCTCTTGTGTTAAACTGAGCAGAGCAACCGTTATCTTTATCAAACATGTGATAAGGATGGACTCATACCCGTCAGAGCCGCAGTTACAGATTCAAAATCAGCCAAGTAGTTTCAAATGACTCCGATGGCGAGTTAGTTGTTTTCTCCGGAGGAAAGTAGGTCGATGCAGAGTAGATGAGGAGTGAAAAATCGTCCATCTGCACAACACATAGACTGAGTGATCGCCGCACTTTACCAGCCATTACATTTATCTGCTGTTCCCAGCTGTGCTCTCGCCCACAATCAACCCAAGGGTTTTTACCCCGGTGTTTTTCAAACAGATTGTTGCAGAACTGTGCAGTTGGTAAAACAAGCTTCATACAGACTCCGCTGCATGGCTTGTATGATGTATATTACAGTACACAGATTCCATGGATTAAACATTAAGTAATTGTCGTTTATCTGATTCCTCGCTTCTTGGATATGTGACGGGGGGGTACGAAAAAACGCAATAATTCAGATCTGAACTGTACTGAACCCAATGGAACATCATCATCAGCGTACTTCACGCTTTTACTGATCATACTGGATGAGTGAAATCGCATAGTCTATGCTATGAGTCGTGCAGCTTACAAACAGATCCTTCTAACATCCCTCGCGTCATCAGCCTAGCAATAAACTTTTTTGCCGACCTGGACAAACTGTTCGAATCTCGAATAATACGTGGTCAATATGGTGAAAATATGAGACTCCACACCGGCTTGAGCAACTGAACTCTTCGCAGAGTACTGTAATGGGTGAGCAGCAGCTCAGAAAGATGTCTCTTATTAATTATTATCCTTCGAGGAAGTTGCTGGCAATGCCTTTGACGACTATAGTGAATGCATCCAGAATACCGCGTCCACACGCGTGCCCGAAATGCTATGGGTTAAATGATTCTTTTCAAGGATTTAAACACAGTCTGAGCCACTACAAGGGATCGCTAATTAGCTGCTATCTTAGGAGATTAAGGAATATGAGTTAATCGCACCATCAGACTAAGGGGAAATATGTAGAGATCGGTGGTAAGAACCGTGCTTCTGTACGCAGTTGATGAGTCTCCTAACGTTTGGCTACCGTGAAGAGACCTGAGCAACAGCTGAACTTAGTAAAAATGCAAATGCTTAGATGAGTGCGTGGAGTTAACCGAAAGGACCACATCTGAAACAGCTTTATAAGAGGAACTCTAAGGGTAGTTCCAATTTCAGGAAAGCTTATCGAAAGCAGCCAGTGTTGGTTCGGTGATCACATGACAAGAAGGCCTGTGTAGTGTGTTGAAAATGTGGTCCAAGCACTGATACTGCCAGGGAAGAAAACATGGGGAAGACCAAAAAAAGAGGTGGCCGATGTCGATGTCAGGAAAATGTGGACGAGGTTGACTCGATTAGCAGACTCCTGTTAAAGCGAATGCACCAGGAAAAATGAGAAGTTAATTGCACCTTTTCCCATGAATTTGGCACTGCAAAGCGACCTCAGAAATGGAGCTGGTATCGAGGTTCAGACTCATTGCATCTGAGCTCTGTGATCCTACAGTCGAAGAAACTTTGATTTTCTTGAAGTGCCGACGTACACCATCAACTGAAATGACGTACGACGACTTGCCGATTTCAGCGTACATAAGGATCGCTTCAGAGAAGTTACTCTGAGGATCAGTGGATGTTTCCTCATTTTCGGTGTCTCAGAATTGCATCCAGGGCTCCATGTCCGACTGCACATTCGACTGACCGTCATCCATTTATCCCTCGCATTTGCATCGGCCAAGATGCTAGTCGAATCGAACATTTTCAAATGTCAGTTGCCTCCATAGACATTTGAGGGCTGCGATGTTTCCGCCTCTGTTCTGTTTGTTCTTCTGCCGAATCAGCTGTTAAAAGCCATCCGATTGGCAACCAACGATCATGAGGTAAGTGTTTTGACGGAGGCAACAGATATCTAAGGCGCTGATGTACGCCATTATGGCTTCCGCGTGTTTGCTCGCGTCATCATGATGAAAGACGTTCCAATCTGTTGTTTGCATTACGGATTAGAGGTGACTAATTCTTCTAACGATTTGTGAATAACATCTACACAACGACTACGCTGAAGAGAAGTACGCTGTTCCTGTTTGCTGCAAATACATAGTATGAAATGAAGATTACGACGGTATGAAGTAGCCAGGAATGCAAGGGCCCTATGATTGAAACAATTCGGATTGCTCACTACTGTGCATTTCAATTTGACTTCAAGCCTTGTGGGAAATCAAACGAGGTCAATGAGACCAGATTCTAAACTTGTTTGGTTGCTTAGGCTAACCTCACCCTTGAACACACTAAATTGACTCTTCAAAAGGGGAGGCAGCGCTGTTACCAAGTTTCTCTACAAAAGAATCAATAACTGGGGGTTAGCAGTGAGAGGTTATACACAGGTGACTGGCGAGAGCCTTAGAACGGCCTCTAGGTACTGTGGCTTTCATTTCATTATGAGACACTGTAGATCGTCCTCGCAGAACTTAAACTTCTCTGTACAGTTTGCACACCAGGTCAAGTTAATCCAACCTACTCTGCCATCACCACGGGACTAAACTTTTGCGGGGCGATGAGTGGCGCAACAAAGTCTTCCAAACTGAGGATGTTCTAATCGTCCATTGGATTCTTGTAAGGGAATGGCGCAAGTGTTTCTGAATAGTGTCTCGGTGAGAAGCGTTGGGCTCATCACACTTTGGCAGAATGGCACAGCAGTTGCTTGATGAAAAATACATGCTTTGCGGGGGGCTGCTTTCGCAGCATTCTGTCACTCGCCTTATCGGCCTCGTCTGGTCTGCCTTAGGCTTCAAAAGTTTGCCGCTGAAGGAAAAGTCAAGAACAAGTCAGCAGAAAATCCACGGATTCGCAGGTGCTGCGACTGAATGTGCACGACTGTTTCTCTGCTGATTATTCTCTACATGACCTCTTTCACCATCAAAGGTCAAGTGTGTTGCAGTCTTACCAGTAACATAGGTTTTAATGTATGATGCCTACATAGCCACTGCTTCAGAGACTAAAACTGAACCACCAGTCGATCACTGCTCTGCTCAGATTCGCCATCTGCTTCCATGTCATCGAAGGGACAAGCAGCCTTGAAACGTTGGTCCATTGTCTCCACCTTAAAGCAGGGGTGCAACGCAAAATTCTGCTGCCTTTGAGATGTCACACGAAAACAAAGAGCAGTACTTACTTTTCATTTTTCATATCTACATGTCTAAGTGCATGTCGGCATAAATTGACACGACGCGAAGAAGTGAAAAAAGCGTACGGTACAGTAAAATAAGGCGATAAATGATAACGCTGATAGTCGCTGCTCAACCGAAACATGTCAAATGAAATCGGAGTCACTGAGTTTACATATGGTAATAGCGGTATATGGCTGAGTCAAAATTTAACTCATTATGAGTCTGCTAAACGACAGCAAGATGTCGTATCAAAGTTTGAGTTTCGTATGTAAATCTGTCGAAAATGCCGTTAGGAACCGATGGCTATCTGCAGAATAAAAGGCCTCTGTATGTATAATCAGGGTATGAACGAAGATCAACGCATACGTGCATACTGTGATCGAAAAATTATCATGCCACTGCCATGATTTTCATCACGCCCATGGCTGTGCATCGGCAATGGTCATATGTCAAATTCAATCAGTAAAACCCGGCTACTTTTCAGCTGCAGCAGATATGAGAATAAATACCTAAATTTCGAAGAAAGGCAGAAATACTGTAGTGTACCTTGTCCGTCTGGTCCTCGTCCATGTGTTAGAGAGGGAAGTCTGTTTTCAGTCAGATGAGTCACAGCACAACCGCCGAGGCACAACAACGATAAAGACGTCAGGGAGCGACTTACCCTTGTTGCTCTTTTTCTGCCTACCTTCTTTCACGGTGCCTCGAGCCAGCAGTATGCCACGTAAGCCTGTGTCTGATCACTGCCGACAGATGCTGCACTGGTCGCCAGTGATCGATGACGAAGAACGAGTAGCGTTTTTACCTACGCACATCGCGATAGGCTCCTGATTCGCCATTGGGGATGGTTTTTCGCTCTCAACCACTGGCGACACGTCTTCGATCGTTTTCTCTTTTGTTGATGGCGTAACATCCGGCTAAGCAGCATCAGTAAACGTGGTACTAACGCTTAAACGCTGTCACTCACTCCTCATAGTCGGTTCCTGAAGACTACAGCGGCAATCGTGCTTGACTGACGGCTGGGAGGGGGAGGGGGCACGACGAATCATATGAGAAGGAATCTCATAAATCGCTATATGCTAATAGAGTCCTCCGTCGGATACGTCCTTGAGATGACTACATACTCAAGACTGAAATCTCAGATATACTTTTGCCGTAAGACTTCACTGCTATCAAACACGGACAAGAAAGGGACTCGATAAATGAGAATAACGATGAAGCATGTACATGATGTCGAGATTGGATTTGTATTCATTTCGTACACAAATTTTGTTATCGGTTTCTGTACTCCGCACTCCTTCTTTTTTTGAATCATGATGAAACCATGTTGGCACCTGCTCCAACGAACCAACTCCATTGAATGATCGGAACTACAGGCTGTCAAACGCATGGTCCTGTCGTCGCCTCCGGGGGTCAGCCAAGCCAACGGCGAACTCGTGGGAAAGAGTTCGTTCATGTTTCAAGGGAACATTGATTCGTCTAAGTCTCGGAATAGTACAACTTTAACAAAGTGCGATAACCCGGTACTAAAACAGAACAGGATTAGAAGCAGAATTTCAAAAAGAAACATCTTTCGCAGAAGCTGTGGTTTATCCAAGAGAACCCTTTTTCATCAATGTACCCTCTGGCCGTCGTCATAACCGCAGTAGTAATTGCCGATGGCTTCAGGGGGAGAACAGCGATGAGGATCGGATACGAAGTATGTAGCAAGCTGTGTGTGATATCTTAGGATGTTTTGGAGGTGATATGCTGTAGCATCAGCGAACGCTGACGTCACCGATCTGAAACGTCAATAGGATCTGATTACGAAAGGAATCGCGTATCGTCACGCAGCATTGCCGTTACCAAAACGCAGCATGAACAACACCAAGAACCGGAGTTGGAAACGGAAGCATCAGTGAGGATCGAGTGACTGTACAAGACATCTTACGTACGAATTGTTATACGTTTTGGCCCGGTGTGATTTCATACCCTTTGCGCTTTTGAGGTGAATAAATCCGAACCATTTTATGAGAGTGCAACAAAACAATCGATTCGGTCTCAAACACTATTCACAATAAATGCCCTTAAAATAAGGGACTTGTAAGTGACGGCATAAAACGGAAATCGGCGCCACACCAAAAACTCAACGAAGAACGGTAGTACCAATGTAATTGTAAAGGGTACTGACATCTCAGCCATACTGGCCATCGCTGACCCTATTATGCTGTGCTAAAAGGCACCACGAACTCCGTATGAAAGGCGAGGCATCATATGAACCAATGGAATCACACAATTTCCGTGCATATATTTTTGTCCCATTGATTGCACTATGCGATGAATCATGCAAATATTTGCGATGTGGTTTTAAATAATCATTTGTTTTTTTATCGTTTTGTTCTTGGAAACATTCTTGTGAGAATTCCTTTATTCAAAAATAAACAAAGCGCTTACGTGGTTTTTGTTTCTGTCAATCATGAAATATAACATGAATGGTATGAACATCACTTCAATTGGAACCATACACAAGGAGTTACGGGCCGCCATACTCTTCTTAAAATCCAGGCCGTTCCTAGTAGCGTCACTTTCTGCAGTTCTATCCGTTCATCAGGCACTGATAGCCTTTTTTCTTTGCTCCGATGGCATCGATTATATGCTCTCAGGATCTTATGTATTTCCATCCTCAAATCTTGATACTTCAGTATCTTTTCCCTCCCGTTAGCGAAAGCGTTAGTGCCGACCACGGATGCTACGTCGCTGAGCTCTCGCCCTTTCGCCTTGTCTATCAGCACAATATCTGGATGATAATTTAGGATATCTGCCTATTTTTCAGTTCCTATCTGCCATATATATCCGTCATTTATAATAATATCGTTAGAGATATAACATAATATCGTTGGAGATAAGTGCGATATGATTCTACCGGGCAAAATGAGCGTGAGATGCACATAGAAATGCACGTGTTTATATACATGTATATGTATGCAATCTTATTTTTCTGAGCTCAGTGCCAGCGGTAGTCAAAATATTGGTTTCAAACGTGTAAATACAGCCATCAGCCCATGCTTTGGCTAGTCATCTTGGCAAAATTTATTGTAGATGTTCGTTGCAACGGAAAATGCACACAAGCTTTTTTCACGCCACCCCTGCTGCTGTGTCTTGCTCTTTGGTCTTCGTCGTCTTTTGGTGACTTATACATGTATGATGAATATTCAAACATTACTACAGGCACCACGAAAGCCGAAAATCCGACAGGACCCCCTTAGGTGGACAAGAGTGAAGATGCTGGTCAGAGCGCTGATATAATTTTATTTCAAAGCATTTCTGTGTAGCAGAAGGAAACTCTGGTTGTAAGCATGCACAAAGAGAACCCTCCTTATGTCCCTCAACGAAAGCACAGTGGGGTCCTGGAAAAGAATCCGCATTAATGACTCAACAATCCCCAAGTCTAACAGTGTTTACCATGAAAATCCAGGTCCATCTCGAGTATTTTCACATGACGGGCTCGCCGAAGGGTTTGCAGAATGGCTGCCATCAATTTTGAATATCTTAGTTTAATAAAGATTTCTATACTCTATTCTAAAACTCAGCATATTCATCGCTTCTTCGTGATTCAGAGGAGTGACAAATGCTAATGGTATATATCATAGTATACTTGCATGAATGATACATTGAATACGCATGTCTGAACAACGTCATGGAATTTTTTGTCTTGACCTCGAAGGATGTTTGCTGCTCTCCTTTTGCTGATTGCGTCCAACGGCATCCCCCCTCCGCATCTTCCAACCATTCTGCACAAAAATAATCGTGCTTCTTTCAGAGAAATAGGCAGCACGATGAAATGGTGTAAAGTTAATGTTTTTTATGAAAATTAATCTACGGCTACTACTGAGCAAGACAATTTCCAATAAATACCTAATTTTATTGTACATGAACATCTTTCTGTATATCAACCGTTAACTGCGTCAAACCCCGTTGTTAAACGCTTCTCGATGATGGCTGACAGATTTGCGAAAATCTGAACTTCTGCTGCTCTTCCAGTCATAAGTGCCGAAAAAGTTGTTGTTCTAGATTTCTTGCAGTATCAGAATTATCAACATCTTTGTTGAAGAATTTTTGGCTGCTTCCGCCAAGCGTTTTTCTGGAATTTCGCAGATTGCAGGTTTGAGCTACTGGCTTTTCGTGAGAGCAAGGCCGCTTCGTTTCGTTTTGATGCAGTGACTAGAAATATCGCCATATTCATCTGGTTTTTTAATAAAAAAAGCGTGGTGCTAAGTAGTCGATCAGCTGCGTTGCACGTGGAACAGGTGAGGCTGCTGCGTGAAGAGCCAAAGGCTCACCGGCTCTTTCATGCGACTGATCAATGCGATTTACTTAACTGTTCATAAATCTAGTCTCATCATTCAAGATTAGCAGCGTACGTAGGCTCGCTGGTCACGGCGAAGTTTGGTGGCATGGGT